TTGTTAAAAGTCTATTGTAGGATGAAAGTAAATTGATTAAATTTGAAAGCAGTATGTGCAAAATTTCTAACTTAAAACACTACTAGTGAATTGCAGACAGAAAAAGAGCCAGCAGTTTGAGGTTCTTGGCTATTCACTAACGCTGTTCACCCATTTTTGTTCAGTCTACATGCAAGATACATCAAGAGAAACTGGATTGGAAGAGCATCTTAAAATAGAGGAAGAAACGTCAATAACCTGCACTGTGCTGAGGACCCTCTGATAGTTGGAAATGCAAAAGATCTGCAGTCTCTAGTAATGCAAGTCAAACGGCACAGTGAAAAAATGAGACTAATTAAATATAAAGAAGACAAAACTAACAACAACAAGTACTGCAGCCAGAATTGACAATGAAGATATTGAAGTGGTTTATAGCTTCTGCCTCTTAGGATTGACTAGGAACCAGCGGCCAAAACTCTTTCTGGATTAGCATTTGGTAGAACGGACCCGAAGGCATTGGAAAAGGTACTCAAAGGTACTTTGCAGGTATATCTCTATACCTACAAAGGTCAGAATTGGGTCGGCTGAGACGCTCTAGAGAAGCAAAAGGTGGACTTGAAAAAAAGAGGATAGGAAAAGCATTGATTCATTTGAATTGGTGTTGGAAAAGACTCCTGGGAATATTGTGGACAATCAAGAAAGAAATCAATGGATCATCAAACAAAACAAGCCAGGATTGTCCCTCAATGGACAAATGACCAGGCTCAAAATTTCCCATTTAGGACACATTGTGTGAAGATCCAGCTCTCTGGGAAAGGCTGCTGGGCTGGGAAAGAGGAGAAGACGATGACTGGTAGGGTGGATGGGCTCAGTTACAGTAGCCGTGGGGGCCCCATTAGGAGACTTGAAGGACCAAGTTGGGGTCAGTTCCTCCTGGAGAAATTATCTACCTGTGGGGTCAACTAAGGGAGTAGGCAAGGCTGACTCAATGGCAGTCAATCACAATCAATCAATCCAATCTTTTTTCAGACTTCCATATAAGCCTGAAAAAATCTTGCAGCTTTAAGTTTGCTCGAAAGGATAGCAGTGAAGTTATTCTGCCAAATTATTCCTGAAGCCTTTTAATTTGATTTATATGCCGCCCTTCTCCGGAGACTCAGGGCAGCTCACAATGCGTTATGCGTTTTGCTCTAAGCAACACTCTGCAGACCAGCCGGAGAGGCCTTGTGGCCCATAGGATGAATTTGGGAGAGGCTGACCTGCCTTCTCCCCTCTAATCCCTCCCTGGCACTCCTGTCTTGAGTTTTCACCCCACGGTTACTTGTCAGGATATGGCAAGAGCTCAGCAAACTTCCCCAGATGTCAACTCCCCTGGCTTCACTAGCTCAAGGCTCACACTTCAAATCACAACTAGATCAAAACTGGCACAACTAGATCAAAACCGGCACAACTAGATCAAAACCCATTGCCTACTAAGGCAACGCCAGGAGGATTGATTGATCGTCCTCCTCGACATGGAGATGCAAGTCTCCCTCTCTAGGTAGTTTAATTCTGAGGTTACTTTTTCCCGCATCCATCTTCCGTTAACAGACATTTTGCTGTGCATTTCTTGGCCTTGAAATTGTGGAGTGTTTTTGGCTGACATCTCTTTCCAGAGAAACTCAAATTTGCACACTGGCTCTCCCAGGGCAGAGGGTCAGCCTGGCCACTTACATCTTCTGTTCCTCTTGAATATGGGAGTCATCAGACATCAGAAGGCCAAAGAAGGCCAACCAGAGTCCTGGAGGTCTCCAAGAGAGGCCATTGCTGCCCATCAGCCATGCCAGGCGTTCACTGTAATGGCATCCGGACACCACTCTATCTCAAGCAGAACCCAATATGGAAGCTAAGGAGAAAGCCCCCCTCCTCCCAGCCTCTCCCCCGTGCCCAGCGTTACCGTTTGCCTTCTACTCAGGCGACCATGTCTTCCAGTAAGTTCATGTAGCTTCCCCAACTATACCTCCTGAAGTCAGTGAGTCATTGCTAGACACCAGAGCTGCCTGCCTCACATTTACTGTGCCGGAAAAAGGAAGTGGTGAACGAAGTGGAGCAAATTGTGCGAACTTGCAAGGAACACGTGGTCTCTTCAAATACCTGCTGGCACCCCAGAACCACTGCCGGCCCTCAGCTAAGTAGCTACTGGGCTCACTTGGAGGTGGAAGCTCTGGGATTCCAGCTGCAGAGGAAGGGTGGCCACAGGCGCATCAAGGAGGCTATATCTGGAGACAGTGTCCCTTTCTGTGCTACTTGCAGACAACCTCCCTGCAATTATGTGTGGCTAGCACTCAACTGGCCAGAAGTGTCCTCTACAAGTCTACATGGCCATCCACCATAGGTGGCCCAACAGAGGCAACAGGGTGCCCTTCCTGTCTAGATCTGAAGGCTCGCAACATTCATCGGGGGGCTTGAATGATTAAGAATGAAGAAACAGATTAAATGCAGGATCGGTTCACTATTCTCCGCAGAATTACATGTTCGGTGTTTGTTTTACCCAGCGAGGTCAGTAAGTTCTGTGTTCTTCCTTCAGGGAGAGAGAGTTGGTATTATTGTCTTTTCTCCAGGTAGCAGGAAATTGATGTTAACCCTGCTGGGAAGCAGCCAGAGCGTAGCTCTCTCCAACCGCAGCTGGGAAGATCCGTGGCTGTTGCTGGAAAGGTCACGGTGTGCTTTGTGAGCTCTTTCTCAGAAGTAGCTGGGGATTTCCGCCCCTGCCGGGGATTCAGCGCTTGCAGCCAACGCGTTGTGGGACCCGGCATGGAGCACAGAAGGGGCCTCCTTCAGCCAAGGGGTTGGGGCTGACCACGGGCTTCTTTAGAAGATCGAGTCACAGGCGAGAGGGATTCGTCTCTCCCCGTGAAATACCAAAGTGCCAGGGAAAGGGAATGGATGTTTTCCTGGCCATTTGGGCAGCATGGATGTGCAGCCTACACTAATTGCAGGCATTATTGGTCCCCGTGGCTGGGGCTTCTAGCCCACACTTGTTTTTATTTTGTTTATTGATCCATTATTAAAATATATATGCCACCAACCTCACTATACAAAGTGACTCTAGGTGGCTTGTGCTACAGTGCCAGTGCAAGGATAAAAACATTAAAATTAACAGGAATTAGTTAAAGCTAGGAAAGAAGTAGACAAGCGGTAGGTAGGAAGGCTTGTCTACTTTTCTCTGAAGGCTGATTTAGTTGCCTGCAACCGCACTTGGCCGTTGCTGCCCACCTACGCTGCGAAGGGTTGATGGGTAAGCAGATGGCTGCAGGCAGACTGACACAAACCCTCCCCAAATCCCAAGTGCGTATTGTGCAAAGGTCCTGTCTGCTGATTGGCTGGTCTGACTTCCTGTTCTGTGCTTTGCTGTTTGAGGGTCCCCTAGTTTTGGGGTCTCCAACCTTGGCAACTTTAAGACTTGTGGGCTTCAACTCCCAGAATTCCTCTGCCAGCTTTGTTAGAATGTTACATTTGCAGAAATATAAATGGCAGCAAGAGGCTCCAAAGGGTGGGGTGGGGGGTGGGTGGGCCTGGCAGGAATGGCCCTTCTCCCAGAGCCTGCCAGCTGGGATTCCTCAGCCGACGGGGTCCATAGCATGCCTCTTCTGCAAGAGTGGACGGGGCAGACCAACCCCATTGAGGCAAGATGGTTCTTTAGCCAACCTGGTTCCATGCCACCACTGGGTCATGTTACAGGACAGAAAACAACGGATGGAAACAGATCAAAGAGAGAAGCAACCTGGAACTAAGGAGAAACTTCCTGACAGTGAGGACAATTGACCAGTGGAAGAGCTTCCTTTCAGAAGTTGTGGGTGCTTCATCACTGCATGTTTTTAAGAAGAGACCGGACAACCATCTGTCTGAAATGGTTTAGGGCAGGGGTGTCAAACTCGCATCATCACAGCAGCGTCACGTGACGTATTAGGACTTTTCACCCCTTTGCTAAACCGGGTGGGGCGGAGGCAGCACAGGATACATCTGGCCCATGGGCCGCGAGATTGACAGCCGTGGTATAGGGCCTCCTGTCTGAGCATGGGGTTGGACGAAAAAACCGCCAATGTCCCTTCCAGCTGTATTCTGATTGAAATCCCTCTACCAAACCACCTGGTTTTGACCTGCCTTGCTCTGTCTGGACAAAATTGAACAGAATAAGGTGTTTTACTGGAAGAGGTGCCTCTGCCCTGTATCAGTGGGGATGCTTGCAATTGTGGGCTGCTATGCAAACTATTAAATATATTGTGCAAGATTGTCCATGATGTACATTCTCTGTTTCCTAGAAGATCTGCACAAAGCAATGCCAGAGGCCATTGCCTGGATAGCCGAATTGGACATCCAGTTATGATGCCATGGTCGTACATCCATAGTAGTTTTATATATAATTACTTGGATTGTGGGCATATGTTTTCTTCTCTGTCCTGTTCTCATGATACGCTAAATAACAACTACGGTTGTAAGACTACCTGCATACATTTATGCTGATCCTCTGGTGGGGCTGTGGCCTCCAAATGGTGCCCGTGGGAGAAGAATGCGGTGCTCCTTGGAGAAGGGAGGGGTCCGATGGGGAGAGGGCTTGAATGAGCCAGGGCTTTTTGGCAGCTCTCCCCTTTAGAGAGGCAACTGCCTCCTTCTGTCTTTATCCCGGCTGAGCGCTCGCAACACAGGGCCCAAGTGCCCCCCATGTGCAACAGCAAGGCTGGCCAGTGGCCAAGCATGCCTCCCTTCTGCCACCAGCACCAATTCTGGCTTGCCAAGTCCTGTTTCCCAAGCAACTCGGGTGGCAACTCAGCGTAGCCTATTAGAGCTGTCCTGCATGCACCACATCAGCCTTTCTGCTGCCCCCCCTCCCCCCCCCGGTTGGGAACTCCCAAAGATGTAAGCCAAGTTGTGTGGGTGGGTGGGTGGGTGGGGGTGTCACAAGCCATGCATTTCAACCATGGGTGAAGTCAGAACAAGGTACGCATGGCCCCAACTTGTACACTGTCAGGGCTGTAAAAGGGTTTGTTTATTCAGTTATTTATTTATTAAATTTATGCCACCCATCTCACTTTCCAGAGAGACTCTGGGCAGCTTGCAATGCGATGAAGTCATATAAACCATTAATAAGAAATAGGAAAAGACTGAAAACCAAGAGCAGGAATGTGGGGTCTTCTCTCCGTCCACCACCCACCTCCAGTGCGCAAGGCCCCCATTGGGGCCTCAAGCTAACCAGCTGAGCCAGGCTTTGAGGTTCTTCTGGGAGGACAGGCGGATGGGGATGGCTCTCCCCTCCAGAGGCACGATGTTCCAAGGGGGGGGGGCATAGCAGAAAAGGCCCTTCTCCTGGACCCCGCCAGCTGAAGCTCCTTGACCCACGGGGTCTGCAGCAAGCCCCGCCTGCCGGAGCAAGTAAGGCAGGTTAGTCCCGTTGGGCCGAAGTGGTTCCTTTCTGCAATGCCTGTGTGGCTTCTCTAACCCCTGGACAGCAGGTCACCTCCTTCAGGTAGAGAAGAGGAAGCCCTGAGCTGCACTGCACTCCTCATGCCAAGATCTGAAAGGCCCCAGCGCTTGCTTCCCCCTCCAGGCAGGACCCCGAAGGATCCCTCCAGGAGGACCCTCGCTCCAGCCCGCCCTTCCCTCCTGGCTGTGGCCTGTGGATCTCCAACTGCAGGAAGAGTAAGGAAGGCCTACTGGAGGGATGAAGGTCTTGGAGGTTCAACTCACAGCTGAGGTTGGGAATGCAGAGCCAGGGTGGGGATGGCTCGAGCCAGGTGCCCACAGCAGCCGCTTTCCAGAGCAAGGGGCATCACCCTTCTGTAGCCATGGCTCTAGGAAGGCCTGCAATTGGGAAGGGGCACAAGCCGGGGAAGATACACCCCACGAAGTAGGCTGCCTGACCCACCACCCACATTCCCTGTTGACAGTCCACAGAAAGCTGAAAATTGTGAAGCGAGGAAATTTCAGCAGTGGGCTTAATTTGCTTTTATCTGAAAAGGTGCAACATCCGTTTATCTCCCTTTGTCCTTACTGAGTTACCTGCCCCCAAGAAGCCTCTCTTCGATGCCCCAGAGGAAAGGCTTCTAGACGGGCTCCATAGACAACTCCGGGGAGGCGAGGCTGCTCTGGAGGGCACAGTTGAAGGCCCGGTAACTGGAGAAGAAAGCAGCCTTTGGACCAGGCAGGCTCTCAGGCCCTCCAGAGGCCCGCAGAGCAGAAGCTGCCAAAGCCTCTCCTTGCTGTGCAGGGAAAAGCCACATTCCCCGGGCAGCTGCTCCATAAAGGGGGAAGGAGTCTTGACCTGCTGGGAAGCCTCCAGAAGTGTCTGGCAGCGGAAGAAGGCCGGGCTTGGTGCTGCCCCAGGCCTGCTGGCTTTGGTCTTCTGGGGCAAGACAAGGCCACTGACTCCAGGCCGGGCAGAAGCCGCTCACCGGCTGAGCCTCCAGGCTGCTGAAAGACTTGTAGCCCGGGGCCGAGGGGGCAGCAGGGCTGCTCTTTGCCTGAGGGAGGGTAGCGCAGGAGGGATCCGCCGGCGAGCTCTCCAGCCCGGGCAGCCAGTCGGCGTGTCCTTCGGAAGCATATGGGCCTCGCCCTGACAAAGGCAGCTCCAGCCCAGAGCCCTCAGGCTCCACTCGGCAGGCTTGATAAGCCGGCTGGCAGAGACCCTGCAGGCAGGCGGGCTTCTCTGGAGCAGAGCAGCTTTGGGCGGAGGTTGTCGGGGGGCCTGGATCACCCATGCTCAGGACGCCACGCAGAAGGTCTCTGAAGAGACCGGCCACAGCGTCTTCGTGTGGGACCTGCTCCGTCTCTTCCTCTGCCTCTTCCGGGCTTCCTGGTTTGACACCTCCAGCACTGCTGTCTGTGGTTAGAGAGCCTTTGCTCAGGAAGACTTCTTCGGGGATTAGAAAGGGCTCCCTGTTCACACTGAGAGGCTGGCGAGGGAGATCAGCACCACCTTTGCTGGGAAAAGGCCTGCAGTTGGCATGTCAGGAAGGAAAGGCACGAGGATCAGCGGATTGCCAGGAGCACGAGGGGAGCCCCCTTTGCTTGTTGGCCTCCCCACTCCTGCCGCCTGGCTGCTCATCGGCCTCCCTTGGCTTCGATGACACAGCCTGGAACAGCACTAGAGCAGCAGACCCAGCCCCGGCCTTCCTTAGAGGCAAGACCGGCTACCCTCCACTCTACATACCGTCTGTAGGGAGCCGTCTCCATCTTGCCGAAAACCCAAAGCTGAAAGAAGCAGGAAGACGCTTGAGGGTGCTTGCATGCAAGGTGCCCTGCCCGCCCCCCCCCCAAAAGGAGCCACCCTGGGGAAGCCTACCCATTTTCCCGCTGTTATATCCTCTGCCATTTTGCTCTTGCGTGGACTTGGGATCACGTCCCACCATTTCCTCTTCACCCTGCAAAGCAAGAAAAGAACTCACTTCATTATCTGAAGAAAGGCGGGAAAACTGCAGCAGGCATGAGCCAGGCAGGACAGACTCTCCTGTGCTGGATGCCCCAAATGCCTGAGGCTTTAAGACCCCAACACAAGGGTGAATGGGTACAATATTGCCTCGTTCCCCTCCTCTCCTTCAGACTGATTCCAATCGGTGCGGATGGAGAGGAAATTGAGGCTGAGCTCTTTGGGAAATTCCTCAGGGCTTGAACTCTCTCCATGTCAACATCTACAGGAGGTCGCTGAATGAGGCCAGCCTGGGGTCAGTTGATGCCCAACTGTGTCTCTTGACTCTTGGTTGACCAGGGATGCTTTTGAAGTTGTATCTTGGTGGCTTTGGATGGGGAGGTGCAGGTGCAGGTTCATTCCTAACCAGACTGAGCGACTGGATTCATGGAAGCTGTAATTAAGGACCTGCCAACTTCTTGGTTGCTCATCCCTGCTGGTCCTTTTGGATGTGTAGCTCTTGCTTGAGTACTAGATGACGGCTGTAACTAGGAAAGTTTTTGCACAGATTCAACTTGTGCACCAATTGTGTCCTTTCCTGGATCAGGAAGTCCTATGGCTGCACTACTGCCATGTGCTCTACATGGATATGCCCTTGAGTGGTCACTCAGAAGCTGCATCATGTGCAGAATGCATAGTTTGACTGGTAATGGGTGCACTTTGCTTCACCCCGACAGCATCTCCGCCCAATAATAATAATAATAATAATAATAATAATAATAATAATAATAATAATATTTCTATACCGTCCTTCTCCCAAAGGACTCAGGGCAGTATACAGCCTATTAAAAGCACAGACAAACATCAAAATAATTTAAAATTATTAAATAATTCGGCTCAATTTAAAACCCCAGAAATTTAAAACACCCAATTTAAAATTATTATGTTGATAGCCCGGCCTGGCGGAACAACAGGGTCTTGAGGGCACAGCGAAATACCCGGAGGTCGGAGATCTTACGCATTTCCGGGGGCAGATCATTCCACAGGGCTGGGGCTCCCACAGAGAAGGCCCTCCCCCTGGGTGTCGCCAGCCGACATAACTTGGCCAATGGCACCCTGAGGAGACCCTCTCTGTGAGAGCAACTGGCCGGTGGGAGGCTATTGGTGGCAGAAGTCGGTCTCAAAGGTACCCGGGTCCTATGCCATGGAGCGCTTTAGAGGTGGTGACCAACACCTTGAATCGCACTCGGAAGACCACTGGGAGCCAGTGCAGCTCGCGCAGGAGGGGTGTCACATAACCACCCGCGCAGCCGCATTCTGGACCAGTTGGAGCCTCCGAGTGCTCTTCAAGGGGAGCCCCATGTAGAGAGCATTACAATAGTCCAGCCGGGAGGTGACAAGGGCGTGAGTGACTGTGCGCAAGGCGTCCCGATCCAGAAAGGGCTGCAACTGGCGAATCAGGCAAACCTGATAAAAGCCCCCCTGGCCACGGCCGTCATGTGCTCTTCTAAAGACAGCCGTGCATCCAGGAGGACACCCAGATTGCGAGCCCTCTCTGTGGGGGGCTAAGATCTCACCCCCAATAGTCAGCGATGGCACCTGCTGACTATATCGGGACGCCGGAAGCCACAGTCACTCAGTCTTGGAAGGGTTGAGTCTGAGCCAGTTTCTCCCCATCCAGACCTGCACGGCCTCCAGGCAGCGAGACATCACATCAAGGGCATCGTTGGGGTGATCTGAGGTGAAGATGTACAGCTGAGTATCATCAGCGTACAGATGGCACTTCACCCCAAAACCACGGATGATCTCACCCAGCGGCTTCACATAAATGTTGAACAGAAGGGGCGAGAGGACCGACCCTTGCGGCATTCCCCATGCAAGGCGCCTCGAAGTCGACCTCTGCCCCCCTGCCAACACAAACTGCGAGCGGTCGGAGAGGAAGGAGGAGAACCACCGCAAAACGGTGCCCCCTATTCCTAACCCCCTCAACTGCTGCAGCATGATACCATGGTCGATGGTATCAAAAGCTGCTGAGAGATCTAATAGGACTAGGACAGAGGAGCAACCCCTGTCCCGAGCCCTCCAGAGATCATCCACCAACGCGACCAATGCTGTTTCTGTGCTGTACCCAGGCCTGAAGCCCGACTGGTACGGGTCCAGATAGATAGCTTCATCCAGGTGCCGGGGAAGTTGTCCCCGCTCTCAACAACCTTCGCCACAAAACGAAGGTTGGAAACCGGACGGTAGTTGGCTAATTCAGCCGGGTCCAGGGAGGGCTTCTTGAGGAGGGGCCTCACTACCGCCTCTTTCAAGGTGGCAGGAAAGGCACCCTCACTCAGAGAAGCACTTATTATCCCCTGGAGCCAGCCTTGTGTAACCTCCCGGGAGGCCAGTACCAACCAGGAGGGACACGGGTCCAATAAACACGTGGCGGCACTAATCTTACCGAGACCCCTGTCCACATCCTCGGGAGCCACAGGATCAAACTCCTCCCAGATAACATTCTCAAGACCTACCCTCGTCTCCTCCCCTGGACTCATCCAATCGGAGTCCAAGCCATCCTGAATCCGAGCAACTTTATCATGCAGGAATTGCACAAAATCCTCAGCACGATCCTGCAAGGGATCTTCCCGCACCCCCCCCACCCCCGAAGAAGGGAGTGGGTCACCCTAAACAGGGCGGCTGGGCGGTTCTCTGCAGATGCGATAAGAGCGGAAAAATGGTTAGATTTTGCCGCTTTTATCGCCACTAGGTAGGTCTTGATATAAGACGTCACCTGTGTCCGGTCGGAATCGGATTGACTAGCCCTACAAATGCTCTCTAGGCGTCTTTTCTGACGCTTCATCTCTCTCAGCTCCTCAGAGAACCAAGGAGCCAATTGAGATCTGCATCGGGTCAGAGGCCGCAAAGGCACGACGCGGTCCAAAGCTCCGGTGGCCGCGCTCTCCCAGGCGGCCACCGGCTCTTCAGTCAAGTCGTGTGTCAGAGTCTCAGGAAACGGCCCAAGCTCCGTCAGGAACCTTTTGGGGTCCATCAGGCGCCTGGGACCGAACCATCTGGTCGGTTCCGTCTCCCTGCGGCGGGGGAGAGCGGTAGGAAAGTCCAAGTGGAGGAGCGAATGATCTGTCCATGACAAGTGTTTGATATCTAGGTCCCCTCTACCAAGATCATTCAACCATAAACTGCACGAGTTGCCACACAGCTTTTGGGTGAAATTCAAGGTAGTAGATGTTACCAACAAAGTCCTTCATGGCTCAGGGCCTGGATACCTGCATATCTCCTGGTATGTCTGGCCATCTTGCTAGATCCAGCCAAGCGCCTAGTCCGGTTATTAAAATTAAGTCATCTTGTGGAGAACTCTTGAGACAGGACTGTTCTAGTGCTGGCTGTGTCCGTGGGGCAGAATCCCCCACCCCAATATCTGCTCAACTCCACTTTGGTGTCGCCCAGGAACACTCTTCAGATAAGGCTCCTGCAAAAGGCAATTTCTGATCCCACTCTGCGGGGAGTGGGGTGGGGATTCTATTCCCTGGATTTTGGAGTTTACTTTTCCAATAGAGTAATATTTGTTTTCTGTTTCCTACTTGTTTTTTTATTTAAATATTGTCGGTGGCTGAGAATCACTTGAAACGGCTTATAAAACTAACAAACAAGTTAACCAATAAATGAAACCCACCACAGGAGACAGAGGTAGCAGAAGAGAATGAGACTGATGATCATCATGCACAACCAAAGAATGGACGTCCAGGATTGCTTTTCAGAGCTGGGCTCAAAATCTGCAAAGGAAGGAAACGGTTACAAAAAGAGAAACAATGGAAATCAACAACAACTCAGGACTGCCCAAGAGGCTGAGCTGGAGAGAATTCGGGCCGAGCATAAATGTATGTTTCCGTGAAGGAGGAGCAGGTGTGGGTGAGAAGCACTACCACACACTCACTCACTCACTCTCTCTCTCTCTCCTGACCCTTCCTCCCTAGTCGTGCCAGGCCAGGCCACCTCCCTCCGCATAACCGTTTCCCCCTCTTGATCTGAGTGTCCTGGCATCAGCTGATTCCACAGTAAAGCCTACCGAGTAGGTCACATGAGTGTTGCAAAAGCGAGAGTGATGAGGGGAAATTTTAACTACCCTAGTATTAGTTAAACTCTGCCAAGCAAGGTTTTTCAGGAAATGAAGTTGTCTTGCTGACAACTTTCTTTGGGATGGAGAAGGCCCAGGAGGATGATTTATCCTTGACTTGATGCTTGTGGACAGAGAAGACTTGACACTGATTGGCACAACTAAGTTCCTGCAGAACAATAGCTTCTTGAGTGAAGAAATTCTCAACATCATCTTCTCCTCAGACCCACCACACTAGGAAGGCAACCTCCAGTCATATCTTGGATTTCAAAAAAGCAGATTTTGGTGAACTCAGAGCAAATATCAGCAGGATCCCACAAAAGAAGGAACTAATGGGGGGTTGGGGGTGGGGGGCACTGTTTTACAGTGGTTCTCCTCCTATCTCTCAGGCCGTACGCAATTTGTTTGGGCGGGGGGTCAGAGATCCTCCCCGAGGCCCCTCAGTTGTGGGGTGCTGCAGGGGTCAGTTCTCTCCCCCCCTGCTCTTTAACATCTATATGAAGCCGCTGGGTGAGATCATTCGGGGTTTCGGGGTGTGGCATCATCAGTATGCTGATGATACCCAACTGTACATCTCCACCCCGGACCAACCTAGGGATGCCCTTTCCGTGATGTCTAAATGCCTGGAAGCGGTGTGGGTCTGGATGGGTAGGAACAGGCTCAGGCTCAACCCCTCCAAGACAGAGTGGCTGTGGATACCGGCGTCCCATGATCTAGCTCCCCCATCACTGTTAATGGGAGGGGAGTGTCTTGCTCCCTCGGAAAGAGTTCGTAATCTTGGCGTCCTCTTTGATTCACGGCTGTCTTTAGTGGACCATCTAACAGCCGTGACAAGAGGGGCATTCGCACAGGTTCGCCTGGTGCGCCAGTTACGACCCTTTCTAGACAGGGACGCCCTCTGTACGGTCACTCATGCTCTCATCATCTCTCGGTTGGATTACTGCAATGCCCTCTACATGGGGCTGCCCTTGGGGTGTAACCGGAGGCTCCAACTGGTCCAGAATGCGGCCACGCGAGTAGTTACGGGTGCGTCCCGCTACTCCCACATAACACCGCTATTGCGCGAGCTGCACTGGTTGCCAGTGGTCCTCCGGATCTGCTTCAAGGTGCTGGTACTTACCTATAAAGCCCTTCATGGCATGGGCCCGGGGAATCTGCAGGATCACCTCCTACCGGCCTCCCACCGCCCAGTGCACTCACATAGGGCTGCCCTCCTCTGGGTCCCCTCGGCTAGACAGTGTCGGCTGGCGGTCCCCAGGATGAGGGCATTCTCTGTGGTCGCACCGACCCTCTGGAATGGGTTGCCCACCGAGCTCCAGACGGCCCCCGCACCTTCCACGCCAACCTAAAGACTTGGCTTTTTCACCAACTTCCCTGATCTGTGTGGATTTTAACTTAGGGATTGGGGATTTTAAATTAGTTTTAATATTATTTAACTCTTATTTATTGTCGGGTTGTTTTTATTGTTGTGAGCCGCCCCGAGTCCTGCGGGAGAAGGGTGGCATATAAATCTGACAAAATAAATAAATAAATAATGGGGAAAGGACTTCAAGATGGGTGGAGGTTCCCAAGGAAATGTATTAAAAGCATAATTGCAAACCATAAAGGAAAAATGGAGGACAATTTGAGACAAGGGAGCTTCACAGATTGTTGAAAACAAAGATTGTTGGGTGGCTGTGGTAACTCCCAGAGTTTTGGTCAGGGAAGATGAAGCTCTGATTGAGTTGAGCTCAATGAACAATGCTCAGAACAACCTAAAAGGCTTGTTTGGGTATTTTCAACACCAAAGGAAAAAGAAAGAAAATGGAAACCAGCAATTTAGTGGCAGGGGAAAATGGTAAAAGAATTTAAAAGTGGGGGTCAACTATTTTCCAAAGCACCAGAAGGCAGGAAAAGAAACAATAAACGGAAACTAATCAAGGAGAGAAGCAGCCTGGAACTAAGGAGAAATTAATCAGTGGAACAGCTTGCCTTCAAAAGTTGTGGGTGCTCCATCACTGGAGGCTTTTAAGAAGAGACTGGACAGCCACTTGTCTGGATTGTATAAGGTCTCCTACTTTAGCAGTGGGTTGAACTAAAAACCTCCAAGGTCCTTTCCAATTCTTTATTCTGTTACCAAAAACAATGTGCTTCACCTGGAAATTGTCAGTCCTTCTTTATTGCAACCCTTAGCCTGCCCAAAGCAAAGATAACAGGAGACATTAAGCGAGACCCAAGTTTACAATAAGTGGCAGCTGGCAAAAGCATGATTTCAAAACAAATGTAGCCTCAAAATCGAATGGTGGTGATAAAGCAGAAGGTTTAACTAAAAGGAAAAGCTTCACTGGAAATACAAGTGGTTCTGCTCAATTAAAAAATAAGTTGGTCCTAAGTGCTAAGGAATGGCTATTCCATAATCCAGCAGATTATGCTGCTCACAGGCAGGTGATCAATTTTTAACTAATTTTAACTAATTTTAAATTAACTTTGATGTTTATGTAATTGTTTTTTGTTCCTTCTTGTAAGCCGCCCTGAGTCCTTCGGGAGAAGGGCAGCATATAAATTACATAAATAAATAAATAAATAAATAAATAAATAAATAAATAAATAAATACACGATTAAAAGCCAACAGAAACAAAAGGGGACAATGACATAATAATTTCAAGGGTGTCTGCAGACAATCTAAATGAATTCCTACAGCAACAGCCACACTGAATATGTATAGATGTATAGCAACAGCTACGACATTTAATGGGAATTTTTTCTGATCATAATCCAGTGACTCTGGTATTTAAAAAGAAATATAGAATATAGAGGTGGAGATTAAATGAGACTCTGTTATAAGCAATCAAGAACTGTAAAAAAGAGTTTGGTATGCAAATAAATATTCTTGAGAGGACAATTTATATTACAGAATACTAAATTGAAGAAACAGACAAAAGATTAAAAAGACATAAGTAAAAGAAAATGATTTAAAATATCACTTGGAAGGAAAAGTATTTTGAAACAAACGTTTGCAATGCCAGTCGATTAAAGTAGGGAAAGGGACAAGGACCAGGCTGATCATCTGCATCTGATTACAAATGCTTTGAAAATGGACGGCTGCAACCTTTGCAAATAACAATGAAGCCTGTTTTTGGAAAACAGTTTGATACCAGAAATTGGAAAGGATCAAATTCTGCTTTCATTCATAAAGAAGGGCAAGTTCCTATTTTACCAAAAAAATGACCAGTCAATTTCTTCATTGCATTAGAACTATGAAGTATTTAGGATGGTCTTAGCTAAAAGAATGAAGGATTTTGTACATGAAGATCAATGTGGCTTTTTGCCTCAAAGACAGCTGAGGGGCAATATAAAAATATCCTTAACATACTAGAATATAATCAATATATGCAACGCAATCAAAACAAGCTGTGTTGATATTTCTTGCTGTGGAAAAATCATTTGCCAATTAGAATTGGATTTTTTTGTTGAAACAATGGATTTTGAAGATAATTTTATCAAATGAGTAAAACTGATACATAACTCACAAACAGTACAAATAGTAGTTAATGGTAACTCAATCTTGTGAGATACACACAAGAACAAGAAGAGCTTTCACAGCTGTTGTTCAGTTTGGCTTTGGAAGTTCTTATGAGAGAGAGAGAGAGAGAGAGAGAGAGAGAGAATGTAAGAGGAAAGAATAACTGGGGTGAAAGTGAAAAAGTAGTTATATAAACTTTTGCAGACAGTTTGGTGTTAATAGTTGAAAATTTCTTGGAGGGAATAGATATATTATTGGAAAAACTGAAAGAATTTGATAAACTGGTTGGAATTAAAATTAATGAAGAAAAAACTAAAATCTTAGCAAAAAATACGAGGATGGAAAATCAAAATGTACTGATAGGAAAGCCACTGAGAGCCACTGAGGCCACTTGGAAGTTAATCTGTGCCCTCAGCGTCCCCTTTATCAGAGTGGAAATGGGGATGGGACCTTCCTGGAAGTTGTAAGGACTGTGTTCTTACAAAACAGTCCTTTCAGCACTTCCACCCCCCATTTCCACTCTGATACAGGTGACGCTGAGGGCAGAGGGTGAGAAACCAAGATGAAATATAAAATTCTGCAGAGGGTTAAAACTACCCAATCTTAAATTATGTTTGCAGCCTATTGTTTGGTTTGGAGGAAGGATCTCTTACATGAGTCTCTGGCCTGAGAAGGAAACAGATTTCACCAGGAAGGACCAGGTTTCTACTCAGGTACTAGACCAGGACTGTGTTAGAAGTGCAGGTGGCTCAGAGGTGGCTAAAAGGAGCAGGAAAGGGCTGCAAGGGAGCCCCATGTCAATCCGGAGGTACAGAAACGCAGATATTTTCCTTCAGAGCTCCAAGGCATTTGAAGGCACCATGTCTGTTGCACAAATGCTGCTTCCCAGGATCCCATGCGCTTCTTGCACCAAGAGGAAGACGATGGCGTGAAGTGCATGGCCAAGGCTCGGGCAAGGACTGACAGTTAAAGGGGGCAAGGCTAGGATGACTGGGGTCAGAGTGCAAGACGGATGGCCCCACCTCAGACAGATGGGTTCAGTGGATTCCTCTTCAGCCCATAATATTTCTACATTTCTTGCCTGAGACAGGATGAGGAATTGCCGCAATCTAGTGCTCCTCTAGTTCCTGATTTTGCGTGCAAATCATTTCTGCATTCTTCTACAGTGTTTCTTGTGAGATGAAGGCGATTTAGCATATCATGAGATTTTTAAGCTCAGGATTCCATCTTCAGAGCCTGGCCTTGTCAAGCCCTCATTTCCACAGGTGGGAGAAAAAGGCTGGCTTTATAGGCAGCTTTGCAGGACTGGTGATCTCCACATGGTCTCCCCTCCTTCCTTTATCCCATTGCTTCTAATGGACAGCATTTTATGTGTTCACCAAAACTCTTGTCTTCCATTACTTGTGTGTTTCCAGACTTGGCTGGCTACTATTGTAGCAGTGCAAATTCTGGTGCCAAAGAACTATAAATTGGCGTTTTAAAAGTATTGTATTGCTTCCTTTAGCAAAACGTTGCTGTTTCTGTCTTATTATTAGCCTAACATATCTAAAATGTTTAGTAATTAGTTAATTATTCTTAGGCTATAATTCCTCGATTTCTGGTTGTATACTGTAGACAAGATTGCATTTTTTATAATACAATTAAACCAATAGATTAAGTCCAATCCCTTTTCCCTGAAGGTATCTAATAAATTGAGGAGAAATTAATCAACCTGAATGGGAACAATCTAACCCTGCCCCCTCAAGAAAAAGGTGTTAATTAGCCTTGGAAAAAATCTTTGCTGAATTATACACTGTAGAAAAATCTCCTTTTTAATCTTGCTTCCAGCTAACTGCAGTATTATAACATCTACTTAGAAATAGAAAGACTGCTTAGACCTTCCCCTAGGAAGCCACTGCCGAAGGGTTGATGATGGCTGCACAATTCAGAATAGTTGTAACACTGCAAACGCTCAGGAAGTTCCTCCATGTCCCAAGGTTGTTCTGCCCTGGGAACCTGACAGGCAGCTTCCCCACAGCAAAAGTGGCCTTCAGCACACTCACCATTGAGCCATTCACATGTAGCACTCCACTCACTCCAGGGTTCCGTCCAGTATTTCAACTTATAGCGCACACTCGCTTCATAGGTGGAGTCTGAACGGAGCTTGTCCGCGAAGATCATATGACGGGATGAGTCCTCTGGAACATTGATTATCTGGAAGAGGAAAACACGTCAGCGCGCGCGCGCACACACACACACAGAACAGCAAGAGCAAGTGAGGGAGATCACTTTGAGGGAAATAGGCAAGACCTGTTAGCTTGGCAAAGAGGGCTGAAACATTCCTTAAGTCTTGGGAAGCAAGACAACATTTGGAAGAAGCTGAGATAGACCCTCCCTGATCCACTAGGATTCAAGAAGGAAGGGAGATCGAGCCCAATCAGACCACAAGATTGTCAATCAAAGCAGCCTTTGTTTTCCTCTGGAATTGATCCCCTGGGCTGATCTCTCTTAGGGGACTCACACACAATGCATAGCCTGAATCCTGAAGTGGCCCCTTCCTTTCTACTTCTCCTAAATGCTGAGCAGGCCAAGGAAAGGGCCACAAACATGGTAAGCTCTTTTGGAAGACAGCTGCTGAAGCTGTCTTCCAAAAGCTTCTGTGGGGCCTTAGCCAGGGGCGGAAGAAGGGAAGGTCCTGTTGGCTTCTAGGATCTGGCCGATAATGGAGTTTAATGCACGTGCCTTATTATTTTGTACATTTTTATCATTTATGAATTTTAAACATTTTCTTAGCTTTTAAAAATGTTCTGAAAAATTTCCCAGCCCTGTCTACTGCCCGTGTTATTGCCTGTGTTCATAATACGCTACTGAATAGCAGGGCAATCCTTAGCCCATGTAGACATTTGAAGAACAATTTGACAACAGAAAAAGTTGCCTGAGGCATCCTACCTTGAAATGCCTGAGCCTGCTTTCTTTTCAAAGGACAGACTGTCTCTGGCCGAAGGTATTGGGCTCTGACCTAATTTAGAAGCAGGTGAACTTTCCCTTTCAGGTGCCCCCAAAGAAGAATAGATTACCTGTAAGCTCCTACTGGCTCAGGGTTAAATTTACAGAAAGTCCAGCTATCCTCTTATGAGGCTGAGGGAGCAACTCAAAGTGATACGATGTTCCGCTTCCAAGCCATCAAATCAGCCTTCCTCACCCACAGAAAGGGAGAGTGGGACCCCTTACCTGTTCGGTATGGTTTTTGGGCCAATAGGCAACCTCGTATTTCGCTGCAATGTTTTGAAGTGGGTTCGAGTCATTGTAATCCCTCTTCCAGGTAAGGATGAAAGTGCGGTCCTTCTTATTCTTCTCGACCCTCAGGTTGATCAGGGGCCTGGGCTTCACTGTGATGGTGAAGAAGCAGAGGAGGACACTGAGACAGGCCGAGGCATCTGGGGAAGGAACACCCTGCAGGCAGGGCACCGGGTGGGGCCAGGAGGACAATTCAAAGCCTCTCTGTATCTTCTCTCTTTCTTCCACTTTAGGGACTTTGGTCCTAGTGTTGGAGGAAGCCCCAGGGTGACTCCCGTCCTCTCTGTCATTTAGACTCCCACCCACCCCGTATACACCCCCCTCCATTCAACTGAGAACTCTTCAAGTAGAAGAGAAAGGAGGCTTGAGATATCAACCGTTAGGATATCACCACAGAATTCTTTGGGATCTCTGTCTGGGAAACAAACACAAGCACCATTCTGGAAGCAGAGCCAAGGGAGGAACTGACGGGCATTTTCTACTAATGCACACAGTCTTGCAAATGAATTTTCCCTATCTCCTTTTCCCTACTCAGTATATCCATCATGCCAACAGATGCCCCTTTTGCCACCTAAAACCAAAATTGCTGTGGTTTAGGATGGTCCCGGGGTGGAAAGAGGTTTGCATGAAAAGCCAAGGGTATCTCACCAACTGAGTCCATATCCAAGCTCTCGTTGCTCCAGACCTTGGCATTGTTCTCTGTCCTGGCCAGCGATATGTTATACCTGGCTCTTCTGAAATTGTCTGCTAGAATCACGCAAACACACCAGGGGGCACTCCTGTGGCCCTGCACTTTCTTCAGAGGGCACTCCCGTGGATTCCTGGAAAAATGGCAAGAGAGAGCACACAAACCTTTCTTCATTTCTGCAAAGCCAGAGATGGTCTGCAAAGTGCCGAATACCTTTGCGCTGCCTGGGCTGCATAGACGCTTCCGTCCATGAAGGGAGCAGCAGCTCCCAACCTTGGGGGCCAGAGGGCAAGGCATGCTAGGCAGGCCCACAAAAGAGACCGTGAGAGAAATTCTGCTCCTGAGACACATTTCTCCCTCTTCACGTTTGGAAGCCAAGGATTTGTGCCTGACCAGCTTGGTATTGCAGGTGTTGCTGATTACAGGTGATGTTGGGGCACAGCAGATCTTGTCCAGTCCACAACAAGGATCAGGCTTGGAAATGCCACCAAATATCAGGATCTTATTATTGTATGTGGTGGACTTGTCCAAAAGCTAAAGATTATTGGAGCAGAATTAAAATATGGATAGAAGAAATGACTCAACAACATATTGATTTAAAATTGAATTGTTCCTACTGGGTATCCTACCAGAGAAAATTAGTAAAGAAAATGTATACTTGATTATACATATAATAACTGCAGCAAGAATAATATTTGCACAAAGATGGAAAGCAGAGAAAATCCCTTTAGAAGGGAAAGTAATTAGAAACATTTTGGACTGCGCAGAGATTAATAGATTAATGATTAAAGAGAAAGAGGATACGGAATATTTTAAGATATGGGGGAAATTTTATGATTGGATAGAAAAGAGATATAAAGAATTTGATAAGCAAACAGGAGAAAATTACATAAAATATATGTATTTTGGAGAAAATATTGAAATAGAGAAATGGGATTTATTTATTTTTTTTAAAACATTTTTTTTATTTTTTTCAGACACACATAAAATACATAATTTCTGAACAGAGTATTGACCGAGTCAAAATTCATACAGCTTATTTTCTCCATATTTACTATATATGCTCCAATTTCTGCCAATATTCTACGTCCCCCCCCCTTTTAAAATAAATATTACCATCCGCCCTCACCTCCTTATCTTCAACACAACTCCTTTTTTCAAGAAGGAAACAGCAGCAGCATAACAGAGTTGGAAGGGACCCCCCCCGTCCCTCCCTACTAGATTCAACAAGTTGAGTGGCTCTAATTTATTCAAGGACTCTGTCCACTCTACTGGTTTTTGTGACCAGAGCCCATTCATGTCTGCTGAACAAGACAGGTGCTGGCTCTCTCTCTGACTACAGACAGCTTCGCCTATAAAAGGTCTTGCAAAGCCTTCCCAGGACCAGGGCCGGATTTAGATGAAAAGAGGCCCTAGGCTATTCCACTTATGAGGCCCTTTCACCTATAGTGAAAGTGTAATTTTAATTTTGCTAACAATTTGAATGTAGGCCCCTCTTGATCTTGAGGCCCTAGGCTGAAGCCTAGTTAGCCTATAGAAAAATCCGGCCCCGCCCAGGACTCATTTCCCTGGGTTAACCACCCAGGCGCTCTCTGGAAGGGCTCCACTGGGCCAACGTGAAGATGCCGGGAAGGGGACTGTCTCCTCAGGGCTACCACAGTACCTTACAACCCTACCAAAAAGCTAATTTGGCTCTGCCAATGGGAGAGCTAAACATCTCATGAAGGAACTAAAATTCTGCCAGAAGAAACAAGAAGCAACATTACAACACCAAGCAAGTTGGATGGACACAATTGCAGCCATGATATGTGCATCACTGGAAAACCTGAAGAAACAGGTTGGGGACAGATGATCTAGCTATGTTGTCTGAAGTCATGGCCCTCTCTTGAGGACACGTAAGCATCATGACGAGAGAATGCTGGACAATGATCCTGTCAATGGCCCAAATCAGCTCCCTGTGGCAGAGTGAGGACAGATGGAGGAAGTTGCATAGCTACTCCAAGGAGTTGATTGACCATCTGGTTCCCCAGTCCCTGAAACTATGAGAGTCCCTGCTTTACAACTGATCCCACACCTCCTACCCTTGAACGGAGGACTGTTGTGTCCCTCAACACAACACACAGCTTTGCTAATACTTACTCTGCAAAAAAAAGTCTCTGGTAGAGTACTTTAAACTCTGCGGTGCAGTTGGTGATGGCATCCACCTTCCAGCGACAAACCAGTGTAGTGACATAATCGTTGTAGCAGTCTACCTGGACATCCTTTGAAGACGCAACTAGGAAAGTACAAAAGAATAGTTACTTGGCGAAGCTGATACATTCAGACAAATAGTCTGGCGCAGCTCAAGGCGTTTCCCCAAAACTCTGCAGCAGAATGAACCTTTGCAGAAAAGTTGACCTCCTTGGTCTCTTGGAGCAGAAGCGAAAGAATCCTAGGGAACATTTCTTGGATTGGATGACATCGCTCTACGGTTGGGTTTCCTCGGCTGAAGGAGTAGGCGGGACCCTTCCTTGGCCTGCGTAACTTTCTTTGGCTGGATATAAGCCAAGCAGCAGCCTGGTTGTAGTCCAGTTCCTGGTTATACATACCACATCTTATAAACATGGGGCTGTGATCTATGTTACTGCCTGGCTCTTCTCCGGAGCAGGGCTTTCTCTGACAATGGCTGGTCCTGGTTTTGATGCAGGTGGGTCTGCTCATGCCACGGATGGTGGGCAAAAGGTAGCTGCTTATGCCACCCCTTTTTCTGTCAAGGAAGAGGGGGAGCCTCTTCCTCTTCACCTCAGCCCAGTGATCCCCTCCTCCTGCTTGTCAAATAGCCCGAGCCAAAAGGGTGGATGGCACCCACACCCTCACATGGGACAATATGTTATTGTTAGGAGAAAATAACTGTAGCAGTAATTAACACAGAGAATGCCTGTCTCCAAAAGCCCCAGAGAGGCTTCCTGGGCACCATCACGTTTTAATGGGTTGATGGTGAATTTATCTAGAAAACGTGACCTGGTAACTATGTAGGAAGCTACGCCCTACAGCATATAGTAGTAGACGTAATATAGTGTATGGAAATCAAGGGCCCTTGATTTCTGGGGTAGGTTGAGAATCTCCTGGTAGAAAGGCAACTGTGTGGACATATTGTTCTAAAAATATTGTTGTCAAATCTAGGAGTGTATTAATTATAAAATATATAAAATATAAAAATATAAAAAATTATAAAAAATAAAATATGTACACTGAGAGCATATGCACCACAGACAAGTTCCTTGTGTGTCCAATCACACTTGGCCAATAAAGAATCCTATCCTATCCTATCCTATCCTATCCTATCCTATCCTATCCTAT